TTAGAACGACAAAGCAATATAGGGCAATTTAAAACAGGCATAACAGCATTATTACCTCTGAATTTCCAAGCCAACACACTTCACTGATGGGTGTCCATAAGTCTCATTCTGGGCCATCAAACAGATGCTATGTTGTGATTAATATGCCTGTCCATTATAGAAGACTGTGATGAAGATGATTATGTTAAAGCACATGTTTGGGCATTTAATACACAAGTTTCAGTTTCTTATAAAATTAACTTATGCAGTACATCTCATACCACAGTGAGTAGTCTTCAGAGTCTAAAACCTGACATTTTCCCTGTAATTCAAAAAATGGTTTGAATATATATGTGCATATATATAATTTGAATTATTATAAAAGGAGAATTATTTTGTCCATGGCTTTCCTAAATAGAGAATCCTCTTAGATCAGAAAAATTGAAAGCAACTCCAGTCTGACTCCGAAGTTTGTGTTCTTTCCAATATCACACATAGTCTTCAACTAACATCACTCCTTACACCCTTAAAATGTTTCTCAGTAGGAGTAAACATAATGGCAATATTTTTGTGAGCTGTGGAAGGCAGAGTATGGTGGAGGCATATATTTTGGAGAATACACCACGATATATATTTCTATCTATCTTCCTATCGGATTTTTTTTTTTTTTTCGGGAAAGTCATTGACAAAATAATTCTCCTTAGTCCTGGCCGTAGAAGCTTTACATTGTTGGAAGAGAAAGCTTGCTGGCATATCATAAATGATAGGGGTCCTGATATTGATGTCATGACCCACTAATCAATTGTGACCCACAATTGAAAGACACTAGCATAGAAATGGAGTGTATCATTCATCTAGAGATAGATGGTTCCAAGGTTGGTTAATTCAGGGACACGATGATGCCACCAACGACCTAGGGGCTTTCTGCCTTGCCACTTGCCCCTCCTGGTCACAAGATGGCAGACACAACTCTAGGCATCACATCCTCAAACAAATAGATCCAAAGACAGAACAGCACTTTTTCCTAGCTTGTATGTATACATCTTAAATTAGAGGGTAATTCTTTTCCCCAGAAGCTCCTCCTCTCCTACTAGACTTCCCTTTTGGCCTCATTCATTGTTTAAGTTCCACCACAACCAATCCCTAAATCAGTCACTAGCAAGGGAAACAGATGCCACATTTGGTACGGATATGGTATGCTATGGTAACTGGAGGAGTGAACATTCGTTCCGTGGGACAGGGGAGGGAGCTCCTCTCTCCTGAGTTTGTGGAAGGCCCGATGCTCGGATTAATTCCAGCACAACCAACAAGGAAGGAGTGGTGAGGAAAGCTGTTGGACACCTAGCTAACGATGTCTGCCACATTTGCCAGGACATTTTGACTGTACTTCTGTCATAGTGTTAATATTATTAGGCCTTCTCTTATCATTATCTGTGAGCTTATTTTATCTCTTTGGTAGATTCTAGATTCCTTAAGGATGGGGACTTACCATTTTTATCAGGACATGGAATAGTGCCTTGCCCTAAAAGGTGATTAATAAATATTTACTAAATTGATTAGAATTGTCCTATGCCAATTGATTAAAAGCTTTCCTACTTTTTTATTGACTCTAAATTCTTTAAAATCAAGTTATTTGTTTGAATATCAACACCCTCCCTGTAAAGTTATGTTTATTCATTCCAGAAAACGATTAAGGGGCCTTAATCGTAAAGGTATTGGAATAAAGTTACTGTGGGTACTGTGAAATATAAACCCTAAAAAGACTGTTTACAATTCTGTTTGGGTGTAGGAGGAAAAAAGGATTCAAATATAAATATAAGTGGGAAAGAAAACTTTTACTGAGCCCATTTTATGCATCTGTTAACATTTTGAAGACTGTACAGTAGAATTTATCATCTTAAAGATTATGAAGTGAAAGAAATGACTTGTATATAAAATCTCTGTGATTCTCTATTTAAAGCTCCATTTCATAGAAGTTTTCTTAGGAAAACTACCTCAATAATTTAAAATTCAGTACATTATTATATGTACCACATAATTTCATCAAATAATCACTTTCAGTAGAATGAGATGGAACACAAGACCAAAGTTTGGTTACTAATGTGGTGTGAAGTGTAAAGCCAGCGTTCCAAGTTTTAATTTGTTTTGTAATAGAAATATTTCTCAAAATCTTATCTTTTTTAATGTAAAGAATTCTTCGTATAAACTTCCCTTCTTTTGGTTCAGGTTCAGTGACTATATGTGTTCATAATTTTTCACGTTGTCAGCTATTACAACTACAGTATAAACTTCTGTTTTTTAAAAGATTTAAGATGGTGTAATTTTAATTTTCTCCAAAAAGAAATATAGTCCTCATTTGCCTGCAGAATGGTCAATTTGTAGGTGTAAATGAGCAGTTCCTATCTTATTCAAGAAGAGCCATTTATTATATCTTCTTTCAAGTGACGTGAAATTTTAAGTTTAATTCAACACAAAGACATGAATGGTTTTTAAAACATTTTATTGTTTGCTAATGGTACTTTTCAGTTACAGAATTTGCTAAGTGATGGTAGGAACAAATCGTTTGTTGTGTTCTTGTGTCATTCTGAAAGCAACTGGAATACCTACTTCAGTTCTCTTCTCATTTTCTGATCTTTTAATCCTGGGGAAAAAAAATAGCAAAAAGAGCAAGTAAACCAAATTACAAATATTCCTAGTGAGTATCATGTACAGTCACACATACGGCTTCAGTTTTGCCAAAACAGTATTACAGCCATTGAAGTTGAACTCTATAATTTTCAAACTTTCTTTGTTATCTCATTGTCTTTAGATATGAGGTGTCCAGGATGGAGGCCCCTTGCCTTCAGAACACTTAAAACTATTATTCAATAATAAAATAACAATTGCTACCTTTTGTTGAGTACTTTCTGCATGGCTGGTGCTGAACTCATCACTTTATTTTATTTTCCATAAGACAACTCTAAGAAGCTATCCCTATTTATATTCTAATTTTATTTTATTATTCTTTTTAACATCTTTATTGGCGTATAATTGCTTTACAATGGTGTGTTAGTTTCTGCTTTATAACAAAGTGAATCAGCTATACATATGCATATATCCCCATATGTCCTCCCTCTTGGGTCTCCCTCCCTATTCCACCCCTCTAGGTGGTCACAGAGCTGATCTCCCTGTGCTATGCGGCTGCTTCCCACTAGCTATCTGTTTTACATTTGGTAGTCCATGCCTCTCTCTCACTTCGTCCCAGCTTACCCTTCCCCCTCCCCGTGTCCTCAAGTCCATTCTCTACGTCTGTGTCTTTATTCCCATCTCTTGCCCCTAGGTTCTTCAGAACCATTTTTTTTTTTTTTTAGATTCCATATATATGTGTTAGCATACGATATTTGTTTTTCTCTTTCTGACTTACTTCACTCTGTATGACAGACTCTAGGTCCATCCACCTCACTACAAATAACTCAATTTCATTTCTTTTTATGGCTGAGTAATATTCCATTGTGTATATGTGCCACATCTTCTTTATCCACTCACCTGTCGATGGACACTTAGGTTGCTTCCATGTCCTGGCTATTGTAAATAGAGCTGCAATGAATATTGTGGTACATGTCTCTTTTTGAATTATGGTTTTCTCAGGGAATATGCCCAGTTAATGGGATTGCTGGGTTGTATGGTAGTTCTATTTTTAGTTTTTTAAGGAACCTCCATGCTGTTCTCCATAGTGGCTGTGTCAATTTACATTCCCACCAACAGTGCAAGAGGGTTCCCTTTTCTCCACACCCTCTCCAGCATTTATTGTTATAGTCTAATTTTACATGGGAGTTTTAAAGAGTTCAAACTACCTACCCGAAGTCACCTTTCCATAAATAGCTCTGGCAACGTTTATAAAGTTCATGGCCTTAACTATTAATAAAGAGATAAATAAATGCATTTTGTGTACAAAGAGGGAGCATGAACCTTAGAGTAGAATAATCCACTACTGGCACCAGCTTATTTGGGATACAATCAATTTTCAAATATGCGCTGTATTCTCCACAAATATGCCCATCATTTTGAAGCCATATATACCATATAATTTTATTGGAAAACTATGGTATTTGTTCTTAGACAGAGGCTTGAAAATTATCTGATTTAGTTGCTTTCTCTCATTTTAAAGAAGGGAAAACACCCATAAATTTGAAGTGACTTGTGCAATACCATCTCCTCTTTGGGTGCAAAGCCGGAACAGGAGCCCAGATATCCTGGCTTCCCATCCAGGTCATTTCTACCTCACTCCTCACTTTCTCAGTAGATCATCGATAGCATTTATAACTTGGAATTACATTTGAATTCATACATGCAGTAGAATTATATAATCTCATATACACAGAAGTAAGGATTTATATATACGGATAAGGGTCACTTATTTTATTGACTATTTCCCACTCATTTGGAAGAGGTTTCTGTAATGAAAGGCTATTTTGTGCTTGTGAAGACTTCTTGCTAAAAGCTTAATCTCTATCATCCCAGCACTGAAAAAGGAATCTAGCAATGTGTCTAGTTTAGCCTCCTCCAGGTTGGTTTAAAAACCACTTTAGACAAGTAATTTTCTTTTAGGTTTTTAAAGAGATTTCCCACCTACCCGTTCAAATATTTGTATCCCCTCACTGTCAAAAGTTACCCTTTTTTAAAAATCTTCAGTGCAATTCTAGCCTATTCTTGATGGTCAAAGCTTTGAAAGATAAGGAGAACTAATATTCCCTTATAGTGTTGTCCTTAAAATTAACAGGTTTCAATAATACATATTCTGGTAGGAATTCAAAGTAATTATAGAATTTAAACCCACCGTGAAAGCTACGGTCTTAATTACCAAGCCATGTAGATAAACTCATTTATAATAGAAACTTGCAGTACAGGCTTGGACTCACAGAATCATCGAACTGTTGCTACTGAAACTCTAGGCCTTGGATTGTGTGGGAATTGAGAACTCTGGGGGCTAGTCTCGCTTTACCGTTTTCATAGGTGTTGCAGCGACTTCAGGGTGTACTCACCACTTCCTCCCGCTTGGTCTTGTCTGTTGCGGGCCAAGCCTCCAGAGGCAGGTCAGGAAGCATCGGGGGCAGGGGCTGCATGGGGAACATCGGAGCCAGAGGCGGCTGGGGCAGCAGGGGTGGGTGAGACTGCGGCTGGACGGGCTGCTGGGCGGGCACAGGGAGGTGTGGCTGGTGGGGTTGGCTTGGAGTCATGGAGTGCTGGCCAGGAACTGGCATCATGGTTTGCTGGGGGACCACGGGCTGCTGGGCTGGCACCATGGGGAAGTGGTGATGAGGCTGCAGGGCAGCCTGCTGGGATACCACGGGAATGATTTGGTGGCGCAGCCAGCCACCCATGGGTTCGTAACCGTAGGACGGGTACTGGTGAGAAACAAAGAGTCGGGTTTACCATCAGCTCCGTTGACATCTGTCACCTACAAATTGTCACTTGCCATTGGCACTTGCCATCTGCTTCTACAGGGATTAAATTATGAGCCACTGCAGCTTCTGACCTTCAACACCCCCTGCAAGAAGTTCAGGGTGGAGATCAGGAATGAGCCACTCTGTGCTCTGGGAGAAACCGGCAGAACAGGTTTTCAGATGGTTAGCTCTTTTCAGGAGACAATTTTATGAGCCCATTTCTTCAATCTCCTCACATCTAGAAAAGCACTAAAATCCTTCATGTCTGCTCCTCATGACTTGCAGCAACCTTCTGCAAAAACTGTGTGCTCGATTGCGTGTACTCCTCCTTCACCAAAATCACATATGTACTGACCTTCCCCCCTACCTCTTTGGAGCAGTTTCTCAGAGCCCTTTGAAATGTGTCTCCTGGCCTATAGTTCTCACCTTGTCCCAAATAACAATTAAGTCACAACACTCATGTTCCGCGTCCTGTTTTCAGTGAACACTTGCAGCTGGACAAGTAGCAGTGTTTTCTTGGTCACTGCGACAATATTAACACTTACTCATCGTTTCCTGTGCAAGAATTTCTGCGTATACAGATATGACCGTTTACGAACTAGATTTCCCATTAGTGTCTATATGTGGCATAGATGTGTTACCTCACTTAAAAGGGAATTGAAATGCATGCTTGATATCTTAAGGAAATAAAGAACAACAACAAAAATCTACGTACCGGGTGTCTTATTACGTTCTGGTACCACTTCAGAGGGGTAAGCACCTTAGGAGAAAGAGACATTAGAATACTTTTGTTTTAATTTAGTTACGTGAAACATACACTCACTGATGCAGTCCCCTCAATACGGACAACCTGAAAATATGAGCCCTATGGAGGAAAGAATAAGGTAAACATTTGTCAGGTGCTCCCTATGTGTGAGGCTCTACCTTACATCCATGACACACATTTTTCATGTTTTCCCACATACTCTGAGGCAAGTATCTTCACCCTCACTTTCACAGACAAGGTCACGGAGCGTTAAAGAGGTACCTGATCTGGACAGAGGTTACGAAAGTAGTAAGAGTCTGTTTAACTCCCCGGCTCCTGCTCCTCTTAGCAAGAGAAAAACAAAATGGAAAAGTAATGTCATATAACATTAATTATACACTTTTTTGATTTGATGTCACAATGAAAAAGATAAAGGAGGCAGAAACACTGTCCCTCAGCCTAGAAACACAGGTTTTCAGGTCAAATATGTCAACCTTTTAAGGTTTAACAGAAATTCTTGCCTCAAATTTTTTTTGACACTTTTCCTCAGTTTGTATGAGTAAACAAACTCATGGATTGTCATTTGAACCTATGAAAGAAGGAAGCGTTTCCTTCCTTTCTAAACATTATGTATTCAGTTCACGTCAGGCCCGGGGACTCCTTCGTGTACAACATTTGATATCATTACAACGAACAATTCTTAACCTTGTTCAAGTTATACTTAACAAAGCACCTTTTATATTGCTTAATTACTTTGCTCCCCAAACAACATTTTGAAATGTGGGTATTATTCTTATTTCCCTTTTCCAAATGAGGAAACTAAAGTTCCAGAGAGAGAAAATGATTTGCCCAAGGTCACATGCTTAGTATGGGGTTGAGGAGAGCCTCACACCCGATTTCCAGAAATCTCATGCTTTCCACTGCTCTACAGAATGTCTCACAGACCGCTTGGTCACTAATATTTCAGTAAAGACAAATGAGGGAGATGCGTAGAGTATGAACATCTTAGAAGCAGGAGTTTTCCAGCTGGAAAGGATCTTAAATAACATCTTACCTGATTCCCCATGTTTTACAGGCTGGGATAGAACAAAGCTGTGCAGCCAGAGTTCATTTCTGCCCTACTATGCAGTCCCCCTGAGTGGTAGTTCATGATGGGTAAATTTTATAGCCATGTAAGAGGAGAAACTGAGTCAGAGAGGCCAGGTAGGAGTGTTCTGGGGCAATGCAGGCTTGAGGTGACCCATCAGGGCTTAAACCAGGAAGCTGGTAGTGAGAACTGAAAAAGTGGGACTGAGAAACATCTTGAATGAAGAATCAACACACTATTTTTTACAGAGCCCAGGGCATTGTTAACTCAAACAATGGTCAAAATTAGTAAAGAGAAAAATTACCTCATAGCTGAAGTTGATATAACCAGGGTGCCCAGGATGAGGTGGTAGCTTTTATAGGGAGGGGGAAAGAAGAAGAAAAAGAATGAGGGAGAGAAAGAAGGAGAGAGAGAGAGAGAGAGAGAGAGAGGAAGAGATTAAGTCAATATGCAATTTTCACATTAAGACAGACTGAAGCTACTTTTTAAAAATCTATATAGTGCAGAATATATTTGAGGTCTACTTTTAGTTTGAACATGTACGCTGTGTAGGAGAGGAGCCCTCTTATTTTAAAAAGGTCCAGAACAACTAAATGACCTGGGGGCAGAAACCAGCACACATTTATCCTCCAGTGATCTTCAGACACCCCTCCATCCATGTTGTCAATTAATCCTACTCTGTCCTACTCTATCATTTCATTTCTTGATGAAACTGTCGACTAAAAATATATTCACGATCTAAAAGTTGAGAGTTCTGTTGTATTCGGCAGAAAATTTTTAGGACTTCAAGCCCAGGAGACAGCATCTCAAGTAACCCTGAGAAAACTGCTCCAAGGAGGCGAGGGGGGGCCAGGAGATACAGAAGTTTTGCAACAAAGGGCAGGTAGTCTGAACGTCGAAAGATTATTGTTAATTAACGAAAACCAGCTATCTCAAGTTAAGGAATTTAGCGCTTTCCTATGTATGGGAAGATGCAAGAGTCTGGGCTCACTGAAATGTTTCCTTTGATAGGCACCTCAGCTATCTGGGGCCAGTATCCTGTGTTATCATACCCTGAGTTTCCTCAGGGCTCATCGCGGGGAGTGGCTGCAGTCTGATGGCTGCTAGATGGCAGGTATTCTTCCCTTCCTGAGTTCCCTCGGGGCTCACCAGCTCACCGTGGCGGTGGCTGCAATCCCTGAGGATTGTGACATCCTTTGTTTACTGATATGGCAGGCAATATTCCATTTCTCAACACTCACTCCATGTTGGGAAGAATGATATGTTTCTCTTACACAATTACAAAATACCAGCAAGAAGAGAATTGTCTCACAAACCTTCCCTTATAGATCAGGAGGTGGATAAGTGCTTAAGTACCAACGATATTACTCATAATTGGCATGCAAAGTAAATAGCACATCAACGACAACAAAAAACGACTAAGTGTGAATTGTCGATGAATGTGAAAATAAGATGGGTGTGGTAAAGTGGAAATATTATAAGTCCCACGGAAAATGAAAGAGTTGATTTATGAAGTTTTGGCCGATTCTTTTTATTATTCTGTCATCTATGTTTCTATGGCAGAAAAAATTTAAAGCTCAAAATAAAAAACAACCTGAATAATTATCTAAACCAGGACTGTCTGTCTTTTCAAAAGTGGAGGCCAAGTGATTGATGCCTGCATTGTGGAATTCTGGTTGGCCCTGGAGTGTGGGAGAGGGAGGGGAGAGAGAATCGTGCAGATCATCCGCCCTCAGGCAGCGAGTTGATTAAGGCTCTCTTCTCTTGAAATGCTCTTATTTCATAAGAGGGTTTATTCCTCTCATCTGAGTGTGAATTATTTTAGTTTTAGTTAACTGCCTTTCCTCTGTCTTCTTGATGTAAACCCTCAGAGAATAGGGGTGTTGAACTGAGGAATGGAAAAGGGACTGAATTTGTAATGCAGGGGGCCCTCGGGGGACTAGGAATTGCCACAATGTAGGATTTCAGGAAGGCAGAGCACAGAATCTTGGTCTTACGGGTGAGAGAGGAAGAGAGAAGTAGATAGTCAAGCTTTGCTGGCTTCTGGTTGTATCAACTGCTCTTTAGGCCACCTTGCCTTGCCTGCATGTGACCTAACCTCTTCTGTGTCTGTGTTTACAGAGAACTGGTCAGACTTCCTGGTCCTTGGTACATTTGAATGTAAAATATATCCATATGTATTGAGCATAGGTTGGATTCCAGACAACCACACGGAAGTCATGTGCTTAACAGGTGCACCCAAAAGGATGAGGCCTCTCAGAACGGGGAGGTGGGTCAAGAAAGGAATTCCTAACACAAAATCTTACCCTCTGAAGGACAACGGCAGTGGAGTTTGGAGAGCACGAAAATGTTTGGATCTTGTGAGAAATTGGGTTTTAGAGAAAACTGACATTTTTGTAATATTCGCCTAAGGCCGATTAAGTACTTTCTCTGGAGGCCTTTCAAGGGTCCCTTCCAAAAGTTTCCTCCATCTAGAGATGGGTGATGTTACTTACAAACTGAGTGTTCCATTAGAATCTCCAGGTCCCGCCCCAGCTGTACTGAATCAGAATCTTTGGCATCTGGGAATCCATTTTTTTTTTTATTACAAGTTCTTCATAGTGTTTCTTAAACACAGAGACATTTGAGGATATCTGATCTTGTACTGTTTTAAGCCCTAACGTTTACCAACTGTGGGGCAGACTTTTACTTCCAAGCTTGTGAAATTGGACATTGACTTATGAAGGGGGTGTTTTACTCACGGGCATAGAGAAGGCTGCTCCCAGGAGGCAGGCAAACAAAATCCAGGTCCCCATTTCTTGATGGCCCTGAAATATAAGTCAACACCCACTTTTCTTATCTCTTCTCAAGTATGGCCATAATGAATGCTTCATAAAACCCACATAACCCATATAAGTCTGTTGCTAGTAAAAAGGATAGGACCGTTCCTTGTGAGGTTACTTCATTCCTATATGATTTCCAGTTCTGAACCCATTTTACTGTTTCTGGAATTACATTGGTAATAAAGATGCTTTCCATTTAGGTTGAGAGCTGAACAAGTTGTAGGGGCGTAAATGATCTATCACTACACGACTTTGCATGCCATTTTCCTATACCTACATAGCCTGTAGAGTCATAGGTAAATGTAGCTTATAATTAATGATTAAAAGAGTAGAGTCGGCTCTAAAAGTTGAGGAGACCATCAAGGTGCATAGTATCTGATACTTTTAGAACCAGGAGGTACAGAAATGTTTTTTTGGTACCGTCCACCTGAGCACTGCTGCTGTTAAAAACAAAGACCAATCATCTGAGAAAATAGAATAAGGAAGGAGTGGAATTTAGTTTCAGGTGTTCTGACCCATAGGACTTCAGGCAAGACCCTCAGGTAACATATCCCCGAGCTACAGACGTGGAGCAAAAGATGTGGTTGAATGGAAGGGAGAGGACGGTGCTAATATTCTGTGATTATTCCATGAATTTTGAATGACTTTTATTTGAAAGCTTCCATATTTAGTTAATGACATCTTCCTTTTGTTTGACACTGCACTGTAATTATTCCGCAAATAAGACCCTTGGAACATGAAGCAAAATAAGCCATCCTAAAATACATTGCTTTGTGGTGCAAATTATTGACTAAGTTTGAGAAGTATCAGAAGAAAGGCCTGAAATTTTGCACAGGAAGTGAAAATCAAGTGTAATAATGCTGGCTATGAGAAGTCCACTGACATTTTTACCTCCTAAGTCTGTTTTTTAAAATTTGAATTAATGAAGCAAATCATTCAGTTGATGGTTCTATTTGATGGAATTAAATGAAATGTTTTCCCAAGAAATGGATCAGAGCCTGTGAAAAATTATTTTTACCTTAATTGATAAGTAATTAAAATAAATATTTTGCTGTGAAATTTGGCCCTGAAAAGTGCTTCGGGATTCTGGGCCTAAAATTTAAAGAAATATAGACAAACATTTTGCTCCATTAGAAAGTAATATAATTCATTTAAGTAATCAGAGTCTAATTGGCATCTTTTGAACATGAAATGCAGAAAAAGAATAAGTATGATAGAAAGGATACCAAATTATGAATAAAATCCACATACCTTTGAATACACGTACTCAGAGTAAGTTTCTGTCTGAAACTCAGGGATGCTGCTTGATCCTTTAGATTTCTTCCAACTAAGAGCTCATTATATACCATTCATGGCATCTAGAACAGCCAATCAGGTTTCTGAAAGAAAAATGTGTTGAGTATAACTAAAAATCCCTGCATCATGACTTTTAGAAGCTGTGATCAAATGTAAGGCTGTATGTTGTGATTAGTGCATATAGAGTCTTTCATTATAGGCGATAATAGGTTTAACAGGCAAAAAAAATTCATCAGGCTGTCTTTAAGTCAGCAAATTAGTTGACTGCACATGCTGATACATTCAGATTTACTGTTAATAAGTGGCTATGTCATCGTCTGTTCCCTGGTTCTAACAAACAACATTGTTCTTTACCAAAAAAATGTTAGATGGTTGAGTTTCTAAAGTGTAATCAAAGTGTAGCGTTCCCTAGCCCTCAGAACAGGATAAACTGATTCAAATCCCCATTCTGGTAAAATCCCAAAGCTCTTTCTAATAATTCTCTGAGGGATTATAATTTCAGGATCACCACTGCTCTATTTTCTACTTGCGTTGAAGGTATTTTCTCATTCTCTGTGATTATTCCTTTATCACCATTCGGGTGTCCACGGAAAGAGGAGTCCCTTCTCCTCGGCCCCATCCTGCAACCCATCTGCCATCCAAGCACCCATGAACTCAAGGTTATCACAGTAACCAAACTTTTACTCATGATCTGAAAGACAAGGCAAGGAACGTATCACATACCACACCACACACTTAAAAATGTATTTTGATTCCTGCAAACAAATGTGTATCACAGGAAGCACTGCCCTGGCTCCCACACCCCACATAGCAGCTCAGCCTTTCCCAGTATGATGACCCTTCTTAGCCTGCATCCTTCTGGCACAACCCCACATTCTCTAATGAGCAAGTCCGAATTCTACTCTCTTTTTTTTTTTCTTTCAGAGTCTCCTTACTGTCCCTTTTGTTGTCTTGTCCCCATGTTCTCAGCAGCCTCTCCTTTGCCTGAAAAACAAACCAAAGCCCTGCTCTCTCTGAGAGGACCTCCGATCTAGCTATTAAATTCTTTGACACTTCTCCCTTAGTAAAGCATATGGATTTTTTATTTTATTCTAAAATATGATCAATTAAAAAGCAAAATTTGTGACCAGTGATAAGGGGTAGCTGATGAGTAGTCTATCAATATAAGGCCAATAGAAGAAATACTCATTACCTACCCAGATACTATTGGCAGTATAGCCGGAACTTTTTGACTATTTAAGTAATATTTTTAAAGTTTGTTCATGTACATATATTCTTTTATTGATGCTCCACATTGGCTGAATTAAATTCATGGAGAAAATATCCATGGAAGGCAATGTAGTATTATTAAGAGCTGGAGATTAGAATTATGTGGGTCCTGAACCCAGCTTCCCCGAGGGTTTAGGGACCATTGACAAGATACTAAGCCTATCTGAGCCTCAGTTTTCTCATCAGTAAAATGAAGGTAATTATAGAACCTACCTAAGAGGATTTGTGTGAAAACTAGATGAGAGACATCTCTGGGGGGAATGGAAAATTATCACCTTCCCCAACCCCATCGCTTGGCACACGGTTAATGTTTAAAAAATGCTAACAAATAAGATTCTAAGATGATCTCTGAGGATGAATTAGTAGGGAATGAATAGCCATCGTGAAGAAAGTAAGGTAGACCTTTCAATCAGAGAGAGAGAGAAATTACAAAAAAGAAAGTGGGAGTTTATGACATGCAAAGTGTATGAATGAAAGGGAACATAGAATATGGTCCTAAAATCCAATTGTGTCCATAGTTTGCCTTTATTTATGGGTATATTTATTGTATATCAAAGGCAAGAAGGATTGCTTTTGAATGAACTTGCAAAATGGATTTTAGGAGAAATGCTCTCCGCTCACTTGGAGGGAGAAGGGGTTGCGGGGTGCGCAGCAAGGAGGCAAAGGAGGGTAGGAGGGAGAGCAAGGAAAATGTAGATCATATTATATGCTTTTGCAATCCTTTGCCCTATTTTATTCAACTACATATATTGAAGTGCCTGAAAAAACTGAGGACAAGTCGTTGGTGAACTAATAGAGGTGGTGTGGTTTTACAAAATTCGTCTCATTACTTTGCCTTACCTTTCGACGATGAGAGAGAGTCATATATTTGGCCACGAGGATCAAGGAAATGATCCTTTGTTATGGCATTAATTTCTCTGGTCCATTGGATAGTGTGTCATTGCCAGTTCACTATGGGCAGTTGTTCAGTGTGACGGCAAATGCAATAGAAATGATGGGGTTCTTTCTATTTATTTTCCCCCACTGCATATCCCGAGTCACAAGGTACTAAAATATGGATCTCTGTGCTTGAAATCTCTTCCACTAATGTAGGTCCCACATATAGAATCTAAAAGGTAGTCAATGTTCTGGGGGAAAAAAATTCAATTGAAAATTTTTTCCTATAAGCTATTGTTTCATTTATGAGTAAGTTGACTTCATAAAACAGAATTTACTAGGTTGACTACTTATTTTGTTGTGTAGAGGCTATAACATTTCCAAAGTATTTGTGTTATTGTTTTTCTTACTCTTTGACCTCAAATATTTTCTTTTCTTTTTTAATCAGTAGTTTAAAAATGGATCACAAGAATAAAATATTTTCCTCTATGGCAGTATCTCTGGAATATCTGTGGCAGAGTCACCCCAGAATGTGTCTTTATTCACTTATGCATTCATTTCAAATACATACGTTGAACACTTATGAACTAAGACCATTTGTGTTACTTAGGAGACAAATGCATGCATGGTTTTATTGCTGTTTCTAAAAGCTTTTCTCCAAAATGATGAGTGAAGAAATGCCCTTAAGAATTATAGGTTCCCATTCTTGCTTGATGGGAAGAAGGAAGGTCCAAGAAAGGGTTATAAAAATATTACATTCAGACACCTTCTGGCCCAGAAACAGCTGCTCTAACTCTCTCCTGATTCCTGTAGGATCAAGCAGGGCTGCAAAACATGCAATTCATGTGGAAGGACCTCAGGCTGGGATTTTGGCACAAATCAGGAACCAGATGGTCCCTGCCTGCCAGTGGTCAGAGATGAGGAAAGCATGGGTTAATTCCAGGCAGCTAGAATCTAACCTACTGCTGTAACACCTCCTTGCTGTGTCCCAGTCAACTGCTTTTGATAAAGAGAAGCCATGGTAGTCAAGAGCCAAGGCACTCTTGAGCTCTGAGAGGAAGCATATTTTAAATGTCTTCACCTCCTGCAATGCCTGGCCTCAGACAAAAAGTAGGCACTCAACAACAACAAATTTTATACATATAGAAAATTTTTATGTGGTGCTTTATAATTTTTAAATAAGTGCTTTTGCCCATTTTTTTTGGTAGTGGTTATTCTTTTTCTTGACTTACAGCCCATCACATTTTGCTGTTCTCACATTGCTTATGCTAGCAACTTCTCCCCTTCTAATCTGCTGCTTCTGATTTACAGTGCGCTGGAAAATCATGTGCCCAAACTTGTTAGAAGTATGTATGGACTGTAAGTAAAGGGATGCTCTAAGCAGAGATAGCCTGGGAGGCTCACTTTTGAGAAAAGCTCAAAAATTTCAGTCTTGTGGCCTTGGTTTTCGAATGCTGCGAGGACGTTTTGTTTTGTTTTGGGCTTTTCCCCCTTTGCTCGACTTCCTGGTTTTCAGCAGTGATCGAGATATG